TATATATATTACAATTTGAAATTTGAAATGAACACACGAACTATATAAAAAAATTCTTTCTTTATTAATTTTTAAATTTATAATTCATGATTACCTCATTAAAAACTTTACCAAGAAAAACCCAATTAGGATAAAAACTTAGCAAGGAAAAAATAGTGCAATCATATTGTGACGAATTACAAATTTTATAAACTTACAAAGTTATACAATTACAAATACAATGTCAAAGGTAAATACATATTTACAAATTATAAATTTACAATTTAATTTAAAGCTAAAGGGTCGTCTTCAAAATTAAATGTTAATCGATTAGATTCATCGATCTATTATTGGCTTGCCGGTGAAATTGTATCTTGTAAATGTTGATCGGCCCGATCCCAATCCTTAATGCAAACCAAGGCTTTAATCAACATTGAGTGACTGGTCTTTTAAAATAGAGATCATCAAATAGCGATGAAGTTATTAAACCAAACCAATCATTGAGTGACTTTTGATAAATTATCAATTTACTTTGGTATGCAAGTAGAAAGTTACTTTGATATAGAGTCACAAAGAGAGTGAAGAAAGTTGAAGAAAAAAGTGGATAATTAAGAGGATGATGAGAGATTGTGAATAGAAAAATAGATAAAGATAGAAAGAAGAGTGATATAGAATAGAAAAACACGAGTATCTATAAGAACAAAACCGGCATTATATAGAAACATCACTTTTTAAAAATAAAAAACAATAAAAACGTGATGGCAATGTGTTTCTTTCCTTGTGTATATTGTTTTTTGAGGAATCATTTTATCATGTGATTAATTATAAAAAAGGGTCAAGAATGTGAAAACTGAAATATTAAACTGCTAAAATAGGAATTTGCTCTTTCTATTAAGGAATTGTGTGTTTACCTTAATTAAAAAGTTAAAAATTTAAATAAAAAATATGGGCATTGGGTCTAGTGGTATGATTCTTGTTTCGGGTGTGAGAGGTCCCGAGTTCGATTCTCGGAATGCCCCAATTTGTAGCAACTAAAATTTTCGGGCGGTTTTGGGCAAATCGGGCAACTCGGGCTTCGGGCAAAATTCGGGTTTTCAGGCTTATTTTCGGGTCGGGCAATTCGGGCGGGTCGGGCATGGTCAGAAAATTCAAAAAAATTCCGGCGGACGGCAGTATAGGGCGGTTAGACGGCGGCGGGCAAGAGAGTTAGTGTCAAATTCGGGCTGCCCGAGCCCGAACTTGAAAATCTAGCTTGGGCGGGCGGGAGATGAACTTACTCGCCCGAGCCTGAAAAAATTCAGGCTTCGGGCAGCCCGCCGACCCGAACTTCCAACACTGACTATATCAAATGGACACTTCACAATTTAGAAGTAATTAATATCTATAATTTTGAGAGTGCAATTCTAAGTTTATAGTGGAGTAACTATTGGAATTAATAGAATTAATTAATTAATTAAAGTGTTTAATTAATTATTAATTTTATTGGAGCTCGGGATTATAGGTCCATTAGTCCCCGCGTCGTCCTAGTAATTCTGCCAGACACAGAGGGCAAAATGGGAATTTTAGAATTACGGAATTCTAAAATTAAATACTCGACAATAATTAATTGAGAATTAATTATTATTTAAATAATGTGATTATTTAAATTTGAATTTGAACACATCTAGATTTATCCATTTAAACTTATTTGATAAGTTGTTCAATTTAGAAATTCAAATTAATTTAAGTTTGACTTAAATTAGAATTT